AATCTCCAGGATGGCCCCACTTCGTCGGGTGCAGAGTTGTTTTGCGAGGATTGCGAAAGCCACGGACATGTCGCTGCAGACTGCCCACATTCCCTCGATGTCTTTTAACGGTATTTAAAAAATATGTATCTTTTATCTCCAAACACCATGATATCCGCAGATTCGTACATAAACAATATCTTATCCTACACCTGCAGCGCGTCAGAAATCCGGTCCCAGCGCTTAACACTTGCACTGAGGTTCCTTAATTTTACGAGTACACAGGACCGCTACTTCTTCTTCTTGGCGCTGGCAGCAGCATCTTTCTCCTTCTGCACCTTCTCCTTGGCCGCCTCCGCCTTGGCGAACTCGTGCGCAGTGTCGTTCAGCCCAAGTCTGTTCCGTGCGATCTGCCGCCAGAGTCAACAAAATAAGTAATTACTGACGCGTTGCAGATGCGCACCTCGATAGCGTAGAACTTTCGGCATTCAAATTAGCATGCGCGATGTGTCTTCACATTCGGGCTCGTACCTGTATTCGAGTGACTGCGCAACCTGAGCTTGGAATCCCGGTGAAAGAAGGAGGAGACCTACCGAAGATGGTGTTGTTCTCGCCGTACTCGTGCCGTGCGTCTGTGCGAATGAGAGAGCCAAAATTGTAGTCCTTGACCTTCTTCTTATACCTACGAGCGAAAAAGTGAATCAAACGAACGCAGCGAACGTGGGGTCGGACGGACGACTCGATGAACACGCGCCACCGTTCCTTGCCCTCGGCGCTCTTCATAGCATCCTCATCGAGTTTGACCAATTTCGCGTAGTCATCCGTCGACAGCTCCGGGAACGTCTTGAGCGTGTCCTCGTAAATTTCGTCGTCAATTCTGTTAAAGTCAGTGAAAATACTTGGCGCGACACGGCAGACACACTTGGTGAGTCGCAGCTCCTTCGGATCCACCTTCTCCAGGAGGTTCCAGTATGTCTACGATTCATCTAGATCGATGACGGATCCGGAGAGGTCCAACGCGCCGTACCTGGGCTTGCTCTACGGCCTTGACCGCGAATCTGTCGCGCAAAGTCAGCAGTGTCGGCGCACCATCCAAGTCCGTCACGCACTGTTTTTCGATCTACATCCGTACCATGTTCAAAATCAGCACTCTACTACTCTTGCGAGTCGGGGCACCTCGATGGCATTCTGGGCGGTATTAGGGTCAAAATGCTTGCTGTTTGTCGCCATTGAATGAGCGTGAGTGAGTGGAAGTTGTGCGCTGGCTGTAGTCGTGTGGAAGAACCTTGCCGGAACTGATGTCCGCATTCAGTATTAAGTACCTCCGCCAGCATCCGCCGGTCATATTGCGTGCAATAATGTATAGTGTACAAAAATATTATCCTGATAGTGCTAAGAGTAAGGGAGAGGGGGTGCAAACTGGGCGCCGCGTCACTTGCCCTGCGACTCGACGCCAAATTTTTTGAGCTTCTGCAGGTACTTTTGCACGCGGCTCGACACCTGGCGCGGTGTGCGTCGACCGTTCATCGCGACCGAGATCTTGGAGTATCTGTGTCGCAAAGTGAGTATACACTGGTTATCTTGCTGACGGTGACTTACCTCCTAGGATCCTCCTGCGGGATCTCCTCCAGCAGGCGCTCGAGGAGATTCTGCTCGGACGCTGACCACATGACTTTGTATGTATCAGGCTTGGTCGTCGAGACCTTTCGGGCGCGCTTGCCGAGGACCGTTGGGGGAGGCGACGGCGGTTTCTCTGGTTCTGGTTCTGGTTCTGGTTCTGGTATGGGCTCGAGCGACGGCTCACGCTTCGCGGTCGCCGCAGACGACTTGCGCCGGGACCGTGTGACGAGAGCCTCGCTGCGGTCGAGGTTCTGGTGCTGGAGCTTGGTGGAGATGCGGCGGGTGCGCACGGGCTTGGCGAGGGCCATCGGGAGCGCTTTGGGAGACGGAGAGCTACGACAGAGTGGAGAGGTGGTCGATGAAGACGGGCCACGGGTGCTCTCAGAGTCGACTGCGGTAGTACTCGCGGTCGTATCAAGGTCCATGTCAATATCGAATGTGCGGCGGGTGAAAAGCCCAGAAGGACCGCGCGGCAGCACACGGGGAATCTTCAGGGCCGCGCAGGCATCATGCTTAAGTTTTTTGGCGTCCTTGGGCGACTCGGGGGTGTTTGTCGCCTCCTCTTCGTCTGGCTGGTCGTCGAAGAGGGCAAGGACAGGATCGACGATGGTACGCCGCGCCTCCTTGACGAATTTTTGGAGCTCAGAAAGTTCCGAGCGCTGGATCGTGCTGGGCTTGTTGCGCTCGGCGTATGTAGTGCGGGCAGTCAGTGCAAAATTCTGAAGCGGTTTTGGATCTAGAAGCTAGATCATTTGCGAGAACCGACATTTGAGAAAGCTGACGCACCTTTTTGTGCGAACAATTCCCAGTCAATGCTCTGAGGCACCTGGGACTGACAATCGACCTGCTCGCTCAGCCGAAAGGTCTTGCCACTCAGCTATCGCGATAGTCAATACGGGGGCAAGAGGAGGCGATAGACGGGTCAACGCACTTGCTCCGCGAGCGATGCCACATCTGCTACCGTATCGGCTTGGAGACTGCGCAGGGTTTCGAGGTCGGACTGGGTGCGCGCAAGGAGGGCCTTTTGCTGCTCGATAAAGGTTGCGAGCGTCTCGAGGCTGGATGTTTTTGTGAGACCAATGCATGGAGGAATGGAATAGCATACGTTTGGGCCCTGCGAGAATACATGGGTCGCGAGGGGCACTCATTGACCGCAGACAAGAAACTACGAAAAAGACGCCCGGCGCTTAGGAAATATCCATAAACAGGCACAGCCACAAGAAGACCTTGCCGACTTGTCAGTCTGCGCCTTTGCCGACTCCCCCACACGCTCTCGCCTCCTGCCACGCCTGAGATTGTACTTGTCGTTGTTCACCACATAGCCTTCTTCGCCCCTTGGTTCGCAACAATCTCACCATTATTCTCCCGAAAATGCATATCGAATGTGCACCTGGGTGGGCGCAACAGCACAAACGCGCCGGCCGAACGTCACCGCGCTGGACAAGGGGAAACCAGTCAATGACCTTTGCGCCAAGTGAGCACACACTACTATTCACCTATTCTGTCATCAAAGACTAATGGTTTCTGGGCCACAGGAACGGCTTCTCGAGACCAATGCCCTCTTCGTGCTGGTTGAGTTCATGTCAATATACAAGGGCCACTCGTTCGCAACGCCCTTGGTAGATTCCACGTACGGCCTCGCAAAATCGCCTGCTCCCTGGAACAAACAGGTATATACATTTCACCTCCACTGCCTAAATTAGGCAATTGTGATATCTCCCGAATTTTTCGTGAAATGTCGAACTGAGCATCGGGACGCACTCTCTGCATATTCGGCTGTTTTGTGATGCAGAGTTGGTACTTCGCCGAAAAGTGCACAGAACAGAGTCCATCGCCGCGCGTGCCTATGGAGGATAGTTAGACTTTGTCGTGTGCGAAACAAAGGTCATATATTGCCACCCTTAGGCCACCGCCACGGCTCGCCACGGGAATTCCTATGTTCTTTGACGACCCTATAGGACTGTCATGTACAGGGTATTTTCTGAGGCCGCGGTCACAAGAATTTTTGATACGTTCTCATAGAGCATTTCGTCAGCCATCTTGTTGAAAGAACAGTCAAGGCTTCGAGCGGTCTGAAGCCCCACCCATTGTGGAACGAGGATGTCCTTCTCTCGTCGAGTTAATTCTGCTGTGAAGGCGACAGTAGTTTGTCACGCCGGCTCCGGAAGAGACGAGTTTAGCCAGGCATGTACTCTGGATTATATTATGAATATGTCGGGGTGGTAGTGTTATGGACCGTTCACGTTCTGCACATAGAACGAAAGGATTGGTATGCGTTTCGTCGTCTGTCTGATTCATTCGAGTGCGCAAGGCGTATCGAACCATCCCATTCATTTCGAATTCAAGCACATCACGTTTATCCCTCCATGCAAATCTTCCGCTGTATTGGTCTGCCGACGCCCTTATAAACGTAGCTGAATACGGGGAAGAACACCGATGGGAGTCGAGTGGGTTTCTGTCTTTGTTTTTGGTGTGTTTATTATGGATCCTGATCTAACGACTTTGTATAGCCCGCCAGCAATTTTTCCGTCTACTACTTATACTGTCTTCATTCATTTAGCTGATCCATATCTCAGGTTGAGTACTCCGATGCCATGCCAATGAGGACTAGATAGGATGGCTAATAGTACAACCAATGTATTCATACAGAAATTATCAAAGAAATATCATAGTTTTCATGGAGTTTTTGTGATTTGTGAAACCATTGGACTAGATTTTATATTCCGTCTGCCATTGCTGTCTGCTATTGTCCAAATCAATGGAATCCACACAAAAGGTGAATGAAATAACTAGCTGGAATTGAGCTGGAATGTTACAAAAACTAACTGAATAAAAGTTGGTGAATTTCACTCATTTCTGATGGATCCTATCAGCAATATCAATGGATTCCGACGAAGTTCGTGAATTGTTTAATGAATTTCAGGAGCTTTGATTATCACAGTGCACAATGCCCTTTATTTCTGGCGTTGTTAAATGGGTACCCCGGAGACGTGAAATTCAAGGGAAGACTCTGGCGCTCAATACTTTGAGTCCGCTGTCTCCTGCGCACCGAGAGCCTGTCCATTGAGTACTCACAGAACTCCGACAGTGAAAATCACCTTCAAGTTCGACCAAACAGAGACAAACATCTAACCTTCGCCGAATTGGGTGATTACTTATGATCATGCTTTGTCCGTTCCTACCCTTTCTCCTCCAATTCGCATCCGTTTACTTTGATCTTTTCACATCGCACCATCGTGTGCTCTTTCTCAATCTATTCGCAGACTTCAAAAGTGCTGCATGGTCGCCTAAAATATTCAAAATCAGTTTTTGTCTAAAATAATGAAAATTGTGTTCCTGACGTGGATTTGACCTTGAAAAAGCTTTGAAAGAGCGATTCCAAGCTGCAAAAAGAAAAGAAACTGCCCCCGAGAGGCTCGAACTCTCGATCTCACGATTAAGTAACAACGGAGTTAACAGTCGTGCGCCTTAACCAACTGGGCCAGGGGGCAGATGTTGAACATTTCCCCCCAGATGTTTTGGAGAATAGACTACTCTCCCAATTAGCTCTCGAAATACTGCAAGCAAAGTGCTCATTGTTCATGCATACTACACATATGGTTGATGTCCACCATAGTTGCACAACTTTGACTTGTACCCATTCAAAAACAAAGATATTTACTAATTCCAAGCAAGTTCATTGAAGCCCGGGTAAACCGCAGGAAACATTGCCGAAACATTATAGGAATCATTCAATATTGAACAGTGCTTTATACAAAGAGGATCTATTGAGAAGTATATCAGAGCTAGAGCTAAATCTCCATTCAAGCTGCACACATCTTGAAAACTACTGGAGGGGCACATTCTCCGGCCTGAGGAAGATAAAAGAAATCTATGTTCTCTTAGGGGGATGGAATCACATGGCTGTCAAGCGAGGCATGTGTTAACAATCCGCTCAGAGGATGTCTGAAAATCAGGCTTACATCGTAGAAACATGGTTGAGGGTGATATCATATTTGTTGTGATGCCTGTAGTGGCCCAGGTTGAAATCTGCACAATCATTGCACACCCAACGGTGGTGTTGTCGAGGAAGTGAACCATCCTTGTCTAGGCTGAATGAAGCACATTCAACAGACAGAACACGAGACCAGAAAGGCTGGATGGCATGGCTGTCATTGCGTAGATAATGCATCACCTGGTGAGAGGATCAGAGTGAATTCATACAGCATCAAGGCGTGCACATACACAACCTCTCCAGGTATACACAACTTCGTCGGGGGGGGGGGGGGGGGGGGGGGGCTGTCATGCCTGGGTCAAGGTTCTCCAGAGCAAATATTGCTCACGGCATCAGCACTGCGTTCGGAATAGATCATGATTTCAGGATTGGGCTTTGCCAGGTGCATGATGTTGCATCCGATAAAGACCACTTTGTTATTGGAAAGGAGAGGGGAAACAGGCTTCAAGGCCGGCCAGTCATGATTCCACTGGTATGCCCAGTTATGATAACAACTACCACTGGTTTTCCATGTGTCAACAATAAAGACTGCTGTGGCTAAATCAAAAACCTTCCTGATCTCAGCAAGGGTGGTCACGTTCAGCAGGCGGTGTGCTGAGAATTACCCATGCGATGGAAGGAGGGAGAGTTATGGGCAGTGAGGCAGCCTGTGCTATGGCGTCCATACGGTCGAGTGCCCAAATGGAGGTGCTTGTAAAAAACTGGCTCATTATGAGCTCGTTAAACTGCCCCGGTGATAGTGTTGCTGTGGTGTGAGGTGAGGTCAGGCAGTGCGGCCAACTCATCACAACTTGATCAGACGAGGCGAGTCGAGTCGAGTTGGCCCTTCCCATCACTCCCACGCTACCGAATTTGGATCGAGAGAGTCCAAAAGCCTCCAACAAGGATGGGAAGGTGGGCCTGAGAGACCTGAAAAGACTCCAACTCAAAAAAAAAAAACACTACCAAGCTGAAAAACAATGATAGTAATTTTTATGGCCCGAAAATACAGTATGTACCTGTCTGGTAACCTCAATTACTGGTTGCATACTTGGATATGCAAGTGAAAAACTCGAAAAGCTGAAGAAAATATATTGGCATGCAGTATTAAGGTTTTCAAGAAGCTTTTATATTTTTTCCAGGGCACCATTGCAGTCATCCTTGACCAAGTCCACTGTTTGCTGGTCGTTGCTGGGAACCGAGATTTGCACGTGCCGTTGCTTTGGCGGATGGGAAAATGATGGCACCAACTCGCCTCACACCGGTGTGTAACTCAACTCAACTCGAGCTGTCGAGTTGATCAACTCAATGACCGAGCTGAGCCCAAAATCAGATTTAACTCACACTGACGGCAACACTACGGGCCGGTGATACGCCAGGGTCAGGCCCAGCAACAATAAGCTGTTCAACGCCAGGGAGTTGAGGTTGTTCTGGACAACGAAAGGCCCTGATCGAGTGTTGAGGGAAGAGTTCAGGAGGAACAAAGAACAACTGAATAGGTGTTAGAGACTTGAGAAAATGCCAATTATAAAGGGCGGCCATATCTCTCTGGTGCTGGTTCTGTGCTCTCTGTGCACGATTCACATCCAGCTGTACCAAAATGTCGGGCCAAATGTTGTCCCAGGCTAAAATGCGGTGAGTATAGGGGGTAAAGCGGTGTGAATTGAAATAAGTGCTCGCCTGCATCCGTAAGTAGCGCAATGGAATTGATTTTGAGCCCGGACATGCCACGAAGAGGTAGAACCTGAGAGCTGGAATAGCTGAGGGCTTGGAGGTGGTTAACAATGCTATCGAAGGCCACGAGATCAGCAGTCAAACTAAATGATACATATCATTCTTACGCCTTGTAATGTTCCTCCTTCTTCTCCATATTGATGCCATCCTTCTGGTCTGACTTATCATCAACCCATGATTCCATGTCTGCCACACTCTGTGTGTTGAATGTGAGAACGACAAGCAGATGCTTGGCTTAGAGCAACTTACATCTAGGATGTCGAGAACTTGCTTAGACCGAGTGTTTCAAAACTCTTCGTACTCTTTGCCTGCACTGGGTCCTCCTGTCTTCAAGGTTTGTTTAAACTTTGTAACTTTGTTTTGCATGGACTCAAGGTCAGGGAGCCAGTACGACCACTTATTCTGTCTGCCCCAGCCACCAAAATATCCCCCATCTGAGAAAGAAGGCATTTGTGAAGCTGATAAACATAGAAAGAGGTTAAACAGATAGATGGTATAAGGAACCAAATCAAACACGATGTCGTCAAATCTGCGCTGAGAAACGGGGTTTTGTGGTTCCTTTCGCAGGAGTCTGCATCCAAATGAGCGCTATGCGTAGGATGTCTCGGGGTACGTACTTTTCCTTGCAGCAGGCAAGGCAGATCCTTTGACAGAAAGTGAACACAATATTAATCATCTTAGTCCCTGCCTTGCTGCATTCCTGGAACAAGTGTCTAAAGGGAGAGATGGAACATAATAGACCAACTTACAAAACATATTTCCTTGGGCATGTATAATAGAAGGTAGGCCCATGTGACCTCACTCATATCTGTTGGGGGGGGGGGGGCAGGAACTGGGTCTCCTTCTATGTTGCTGCGAGCGGCCTTCCACACGAAGCTCATATCCGCTGACCAAAGATGAGAGCAATAGTCCTTGTTCACTGACGCGAGCTTTATAAGTTCGAACGGCTCCAAGTTGCGGAATATCTGCTCATGTTATTTGTAGGATGGGGTATTGAAGCACACCAACACACCTCACCGAGCATGTCCATAGGCATCTTGACTATGTCTTTTAAGGCTCCCTGTATGGAGCCCCCTCGCCCTTTTCCCTTTCCCTTCGTGTCAGCCCTTCGCCACGGGTGCCACCCTTTTACCCCTGGAAGGTCCTGCTTTGATAGCAACCGTCGGACTTGCCCTTAGCGGTCTTGTGCCGTTTCCCAACAGGTTCATCTATGCAGTGAGAGCAAGGCGCAGACCATATTAGGGCTACAATGGTTGGCGAGAACATCATGAACACACCAGAAAATGCATCGCTCTCCGACACTGAGTCGTCCTCGTTGCCTGATGGTGCATATTCCTCTCTTTCTTCTACAGAAGGGTCTTCGTCACTCTCCAGGGCAACAGGCTTCTTTCTGGATGCACGGCGTGGTCTGACAGACATGTTGCAGTGAAAGCTTGCGAGTGTCCGGTGTTTCGAAGAGACTCGGCGAAAGTCCAGAAAAGGCAAAAGCTCAAAATGAAATCGGCCCGCAGCGGCCGCTAACGCCGGTCACGGAGCGGCTACCGGTTCTCCAAAAATTTGCACCTTGCAGTCCAGACTCTCGGGCTTCGTACATTGAGAGAAAATGTCACTAGGTCTTCGTGGATTGCGTTATTACGCCACTGTTCGGACGCCGGCTAGACGAGCTCTTCTCGGTCGATACACGGCTCTCCCTCTCGAACTGTTTCGAATTGGGCCTACTCCAGCCATCATTCTGCGCGACCACGCAGTTCAAAAAGCACATGGAAGGCGAGCCTTCGATGTCCGTCTCCAACCGGACGGACTTGTCCATCCAAAGCCGGGTGCCCAATTTGAAGGTATGCCGAAGCCAAGTTTTAAAGATCACAGCGAACATGGAACGAACAGGTCCCAACGGCATGTCAATGCGGCCGTTAGGGAATAACTTGCATGAGTTGGTTGACATCTTCGAGGGCCCGGACATCACTATGTACCGTCTTCCCAAAGGTCAGTTCTTACCAGCTTGGTGAGCTGTCATGTTGATTCATTCAATCAGGTCTTCAATTGCCCGACGACCTGGTGTGTTTGCATGAGCACACGGACCACTACTCGATGCAATGTAGAGTGCCCATGTCACTGTACACGCTGAACCGGAAACTGATGGATCTATGTGTGCGGCATGGTGAACGATTGTCGCCAAACGCCTTCATAGACCGGTATCCGATTTTTGGGTAACGAAACAAATCCTGGGCCATGCAGTTTGTTCGTTGTAGTTAGTTTTGTATACCTTTTATTAAAAACCACCCTCGTCAACAAACTTGATCCGTTGTGAATTGCGCACAGCGATTTGTTCCGCGTGTGAAAGTTCTTCGGTTAACAAAATGGTTGCATCTGAAGCCCCCGCAAGTACAATATGTTCCCAGAATAACCCGCATCGCTACTTCTTACTGATACCCACACAGATATTGAGCCATCCGTCGGCACCCGCAAGACAAGCACCCAGCCACGCCATCTCGGACTCAGGAGGCGTCAAGACACCTTGTATGAGGGGATAGGCGAGTTCGGGGACGGACGGTGCATGCGGATGTGGGTTGGTTCGTGAAGGAGGCGGGGCAGGCGGTCGGGGCGGGAAAAGAAGAGGGACGTGCGTGGACAGAAAATGTGAAAGGGTATGTGGTGTACCTGAAGAGGGATCAGTAAATGCAGTGATTGACGCTAGGGAGGACGGACCATCATCCAATGTAGGAGGAACAAGATCCTGAATCACAGGCCCGTCCGGCAGATATACTCTGACGGGGACACTGCGCA